ATTTATTGCTAATATTATAGACTAATCAACTCATTTAAACTCTTTGGACATGTGATAATGGATAATCCTTGAAAAACATCCAAGTGTCTTCCCAAGTCGTATGATTTTTTGTTGATGTATTGCGTTGTATGTGAAATCAAAAGGAAAGGATAAAGATTAAAACTAAAAATTACATATACTTCTCCGCATATAGAATTGTCCGCGAAGTATCCATATATTTTATTTATTATTGGATATATTTGGTGTGTATCTGATAAATACCCTCGAGTATCCAACGAGGATCATATCCGATATGGATACGTCGACCTTAACGAAGTATCCGTGCTTCATAGCCAGCAAGCCAAATACTAAGTAAGTAAAAATAAGACTCAATTATGTTTATGCAAGGTTGTAGGTGAGTCTTTGTCTGGATAGCCCAAAATTCCATAATTTGACACGTCTTTAAATTTGTCTTTCCTAGAACATGTTACCATTTGCATCAGTCTAGTCGATTAGAAAAAACTCAACCTTGAGTTTTGAAGCATTGAAGTATAGAAGTCCACAAGCTTTAAACTTGCATATGTACTCTCTCCGAGAAGTCTTAGGATGATGCGTCATTTTCTTCTTGAATTGAGGGAATAAAGAAGGGATTTGGAGACTAATCTATTCGATTCTGTCATTGAACTTCTTCGGAATGAGTCAAATGACAAAATCAATTGTTGGAACTAAGTATAGAAAGCAATTCCATGAATTAACGTTCCAAGTAGTGTGCCTTCAATTGTAGTCATCACTTCTCTTGCTCATTCAAACTTGTAGTAGTAGTAGTTTTTGATTCCATCTTTTGTTCATGTAGATATTTTCTCTTGTTGTAGCCTTAGCCTTCTCTTGAACACTGTTGAATAGCATTGGTGGCCCTTTGCACTCACTGATTCTCGGAGGATGCAAACAAACCATGCTATTGAAACACTGATGTTGCCAATAGAAAGTCATCAATGTGAAGAATGTCTTTAAGCAACTTGGTTGGAACTATTTTGGAGCACTTAGATAATAACTTAGTCATCACTAAATGCTAAATTGATTGAGTACCAATTGTTTCTTCCATCTTCTTAGGCTCTAAAACATAAATGTTATCCATATATTCACTTTTTACCTTAGCATTCGGACAAGTGAGTAGCGAAGTTGTCTGGGATTGTGTATGTTCTTCTACTTGATCTTCTCAATCCCGGATTATCAGATCGCTAGTTGTTTTAGACTACTTTGGATGAACCTTACGTGGTCGCAAATTGGAATGCAAATAACTTTCAACTTTAGCCATACGGATTGAAGAAATCCTTGTTCAATTTCCTTGATTAATGAATTTTGATTACATCTCCGTATCAAGTGCCACTTGGAATGCATGTTCCACCTATATAATGGTTGCCGATGCAATTCTCACCTTATATTAGCCCTTAAATCATCCTTCAATCGGGCAACTGTTTGATTGGGGTCTTCTACATTCGACTTTGAAGCATTAGAACTTTGGATATACTTCATTACTGATATGCTACCAAATTAGTAATTGGTTGGCAAAAAAATTCATAATAATTTCAAGGCATATAAGTCTCTAGAACCTTAGCCTTCATCTCTTTCCATGTTTTGATTGATGGTAATCCCGATCTTATTAAATCTCCTTCAACTCAAACCACCAAATTTGTGCCATCACCACAAGTTTCATCTTCACAAATCATAATCTCCGATTCTCTACCTTGTTATGCCTAATAAAATACTCTTGAATAGAAGTAAACCAACTGCTGAATATTGTAGAATCATCATTCCTTCAAAATCTCCGATCTTCATCATCGTATGCTAATACTATCCCGCAAAACACAGGACCTTCAGCTCTAATACCAAAAATTGACGTAGGATAGTAGTGATCCAAAAAAAACCAGCATTGTATAGAGACTGTGAATAGTACTGTGCACGTAAAAAAATGAGTTTCAGGTTTCAAAAGTACTGGGCTTCAAGTCTTGTTGAAGGAAAAGGTTGGATTTGTTGAATAGAGTTACATGGGATCGAAAGAAAACCAACATAGATTTGTTCGGTAAGTATTTCCATGCACGAAATTTAGGAAGGAAGAAGAAAAATAGAAATCACTCCCAAAGTTCCATAAGCATCACATCCAGGGTTTTGAATTGCATCACACAATGCTCACAACATATATTTATTGCTGAAAATTTCTAATAAATATTCTCTCCATCTGTTAAATTGAACCAATAAATCTCTATATATAGACCACCAAGTATTTCCTAATCCTAAAAAGATTAGAACTACAAAAACTCCTAATTATATAGTTTAGGAAACAAAGATAAACTATAATTGGGACTTTAAACTCTAAAACCTTAAACCCCAATATCATTGTTTTACCCAAAGATAGACCCCATTCTAGCAAATCTAGATACTACAAAAATACCATAAAACTTAAAAAAATAACATATAAAATACTAATACCTACACACCAACCCAAAGTAACTAAAAATAAGACTTAATTATGTTTATGCAAGGTTCTATGCGAGTTTTTGTTTTGATTGCAAATCAAATTCCATAGTTTGTCATGTCTTTAAATATGTCTTTTCTTCAACATCTCAAACCGCATCAAATGTCCTTATAATAAGAACCAAGTACTAGTACTCCTGATTGTCTAACTAAACATACCCATAGTTTTAATAGTAATATCTTTCTAGTTTGGAACTTATTGCTGGCATTATTGAGTATGCCAAAATACAAGCCCATCATTCCTCTAAGATGTGGGCTATGTATTGTTTAATTCTGAAAGGCAACAATATCAATTATACTGAGCAAAAGAAGTTCATGAGAGGACAAGAACTCCTCTAAGAGACATGAAAAACAAAAAGAAAAACAAACTGAAAATCAAAGTAAATGAAAACAGTCCAAAGATTATCAAGAATAACAACAAACATTAATTCAAAATCCTTCGACATTGAAGCCCAAAGAGAAGCCAAGAAAGACATTTTACATAAATTTTCCCATGTAGACTCTCTGTCATTGAAGATCCTCCCATTCCTTTTCAACCATACCACCCAAAACAAAGTCAATACTTCACAATTACATAGAACCTTGGCTTTACTACTATAACCAAAACCCTCAAATTAATAAATAAATAACAAGCCCCAACTTCTTGGAAACACCAAAGGAATTCGAAATATCGCAAAAAGTCTATTCCAAATATTTAGAGAGAAAGAAGAAATGTAAGAACATCTGCACTCGACGGATGAAAAAGACTTGAGTCTTCCTTTAGGTGATAATCCATTATCTATGTCTTTTTGTGATCCGGTCATTCAAAAGGTTAGGAAAAGGTCGAATGGATAGAAGAAAGCCTAAAACTCAAGGGAGGGAAGTTTAACTCTGGTTCAGGGAGTGTTGTCAAGTAATCCTATTTATTTTATGTCTCTTTTTAAGATGTCTTATGGGATAATAAATAGAAATGAGGGGATGATGAGAGAATTTTGTGTGAAGTCAGTGAGGGTAGAGAGGATCATTTGGTTTATTGGGAGGTAGTGACTAGGCCAAAATCAAAAGGAGGTCTTTTAATGGAAACTTGATACATAAAAATGTGGTTTTGTTTAAAAAATGGCTTTGGAGATTTTCCTTGAAGCATAATTCACTATGGCATTCGATTTTTAAAAGCAAGTATGGCTTGCAAGCTAATAGGTGAGATGATAATAGGATTGATGGGGGAAACTACCGAAACCTTGGAATTACCTTGCATCTCTCAAAAGGTTAACTTCACGTTGGGCAATAGAATGGGAGTTTGATTTTTGGAGGATATAGCACAAATAGAAGATAAATTAAGGAAGAATAAACTCAGGTGGTTTGGACATATATGTGTGTGTGTATATATATATATATGGTCTGCTATAGCACTGGTGAGAAAGAGTAATATAATAACTTATGGTCTAACCGAAACATGGTCATTAATAGAACACAATGGCGAAACATAAGTCATGCAAACAACTCCAAAAATATTGGGATAAGGCTTTGTTGAGATGAATATTTGATTTGGGGAGTTGTAGATTTCCAAGGTCATTTCCTCGAACATTTCAACTTTCTTGTTATCATGGCCATAGTATTGATTCTCTGATAAGGTCCCATTCCACTCCGACATCTGAGAATTTTGGGCCGTAGAAACTTAAATGATAAGGAGTCATCAGAATTGGTGTCGTTTATTTCCTTACTCACCTTAAATCATGATGTGGTGGATAAAAGATGTTGGCTCTTTGACACATCGGGTTATGTAAGACCTACATTGATTCTTTGACTGATGATCCCCCAATTCTTTTTTCTTACCCGTCATTGAAGATTTGCAAGGTTAAGATGTCATTGAAAGTGCAAGTTTACCTATGAGCAATTGCTTACTAGATTAATACTTATGATAGGCTACAAAAGAGGAGACCTTATATTTGTTGTTGCCCATAATGGTGCGTTATGTGTAGAGGAAATAGTGAAAGTGTGGATCATTTATTCTTTCATTATCCCATTAGAATATTGTTGTGGAACAAATTATTTGAGTTGGTTGGGCTTTGTTGGGTGGCTCCGAGATCTATTTCATCGATATTTTGTTTGGATATTAAAGGACTGTGCAAAGGTGAGAAAGGTGTGACACTATGATATTATGTTTTATTTGCCATTGTTTGGATTGTATGGATGAAAAGAAACGAACAAATATTTGAAGATAAAATGGAATTGATGGAAGGACTATGGGACCTGGTTTATTTCTTAGCTTCTTTTGGGGCCTACATGACAACAGAGTTTGAGTACGTCCCTCTTTTTTGAATTATTTCGGGTTCGACGGCTTCTTGCTGATGTTAACAATTTGTTTCAAATGGTGCTTTGATGTGTATTGTTTTATTTCTTGGATTTTTGTTGGTTTGTCTTTGGATAGGACTTCTTATCCAACTTCGCTCAATTGTTGTAAATATTTATCTATGGTTATTAATAAAATGTTGTTTCCTATTAAAAAAAGGTTATTTGTTTTCATAGGAAGGGTAAACAAAGGTTATTTGTTTACGAATGCAACAAATCTGCATCAAAATCAAACATGTAAGTGGTTTAGGGTTTTTAATAGAATGATATCAATGATTGTTCATACACAAATGTTTTCATAAATAGTAGTGTTAAATACATTCTTAAATTCAGAACTTTGAGTTCTTGATCTTTGAATGTACTCTTAGATTTTTCTTTCCACATACACCAAGTAATTTTTCAAATATATATATAGTGGGTGTGTGCTCAAGCATGTAAAATGTCTGATAGATAAATAGGAAAAGTTCTCCATATAACAAGAGAAGGGGGAATAATAGGTAATCTGTAAGTACCTTTTCTAGCTGCAGCTGGAATTCCAAAATCCTCTCTTTGCTCATTTCCCTTAGCAATTTGACCAAGTATCCTGGTTTTATAGCTGAGTTGGAATCTACAAAAATTGCAATCTTTTTGTAGTCTATGACATCTTCGAAAGGCAATTCAATATAGTCACTGACTATAACTGGAATACACAAGCTCACAACAGCATCAAAAAGTCGACAAGCTGAAGGAGTATCACCAGCTGGATGTAAACAGAACTTTGAGGTGTGCATCCCTTGTGAAGCCATACGGCGACTCTCTCTGGACTGTGCACCATGCTTTATAATGACATCTTCTTCTTTCTCAAGTACTTTAAAAAGCATATCACGAATTTTTCCTCCCTAAAATCCGAGGAAAATCAGCAACTTAATGCTTCAACAAACAGCCCACATGTCACAGACAGACCGAGAGAGAGTGTGCAATATGACAACCATTCAGTAACGCAAGTTTCACAAACATTAAAGCACAGAAAGACAAATATAAAAATCAGGCAATAATTTTAACTCTGCTTGCAAAAACAGGGCATAGAAGCGTACTTCAACAGGCAAAAAAGAGATACATTCATACTATCTATCAAATTATAACAATTAGGTTATTGTTTTGATTAACAACAGAAAAAAATTAATACCTGCCAATGGGAATCATGGCAACCTCTAATTAAAGAAACGATTAGGAAATAAGATCCAATAGAGTAGGAATCGCTTTGATTCCATCATGCATATTGGGATCAGGTCACAGTTAAAATTTTCAAAAAAAAAATGGTATATTTTTCCTTTCTTTTAGAATTTAGATCTAGTCTATTATTCAGGCTCATATTAGCATGCCTGTCTCTCATTATATTCATATCCTGGGCCTGGGCCCGAATCTACAAGTTCCATCAAAAGAAATAAATGTCCACAACAAGGCATCGTACAAATCAATATCCTGGCAAACCGCAAGCCATTTCTCTAGCACTTGTATGTGTAGTGATGAACTCATACATCCATAATTTCATAGAAACCAATAGGTAACACCAGTCAATAACCAAATCAAGAAAATCTATTGAAGAGATTGTGTTCCATGTTATAGAAATCAAATTATTCCATTGTATGAAAGGCAATGTTATGAAAAGCTCGCCTAGGCAAGCACCTAGGCGAGGAGCGAGAAGCGAGGTGATGTTGTCTCGCCTTGAACAACCAAGGCGAAGCAAACATGACTGAAGTGACCAAAAAGCGAGAAAAGAGAGCGTCTCTTGCTTAAGCGAAAAGCAAGAAAATCGAGCGCCTTGGTTAAATTTTTTAAGGTGTTTTATTTTATTTTTATTATGGACCATTGAATTGGGGCAATTAGAAATAAATTATGAGATGCCCATACACCCAATTGGCCCCTTATCCCAATATATACAACACCCAAATCCTAATTGTGCCTAAAGGGTCAGACAACTGTTGCTCTTTCCTCGCTAGTGTGTGGAGTAGACTCCACAGGTTTGTCTCCTTCTCTTTTGCTTACCTCTTATGTTTCTCTACTTCTCTATTTCTCCTTTTCTTTTAATTATTCTTCTTCTTCGACAAAAAAAAAAACTTTAATATGTTGTTGTCTTCATCTTCGATAGAATAAAAACTACACAGATACTACTTTTTCTCTATTTTTCTCCTCCTCTTCTCTTCTTCTTCTTCTACTTTTTTAATTCTTTTTTTTCTTCTTCTTCGACAGAAAATACGGTACCTGTTGCTTCTCCAGCTTCTACTTCTGCTTCTCTCGCTTCTACTTCGACAATAGAGGTACGTTTTCTTCTCTCATCTCTTCTCCTCTTCTCCTGATTCTTCTTCTTCTGGTTCTGTATCCTCTCTCTTTCTTCTCTTTTGCTTCTGGTTCTGGTGCTTCTTCTCTACTTCTTGTCTTTTTCTGATTCTAGTTCTACTTCTCTGTTTCTGTTTCTTCTCTTTTGGCTGATTTTGTTTCTTTTCTTTTTGTTGATTTTGTTTCTTTGTTTTTGCTTCTCTGTTTATGTTTCTTCTCTTTTTGCTGATCTAATTCTCCTTTCTTCTCTTTTTGTTGATTATGTTTCTTCTCTTTTTGCTGCTTCTCTATTTCTGGTTCTGCTTCTTCTTCTCTGCTTCTTCTTCTTCTTCTCCTCTTTTTGTTGATTCTGCTTCTCTTTTTACTAATTATGTCCTCTCTCTTTTGATGATTCTGTTTTTTTTTTTTGCATCTACTGATATTCTGTAATGCTTTTGCTTATTTTCTGTACTGCTTATTTCGCTGTTTTTGTATAGCTTATTTCTGGTGATTCTGATTTTTTATAATGTTGATTTTGACGAGAGTAGTCCTGATTTTTTGTAATGTTCAATGCTAGTCATTGGTACTGCTTATATCTGCTGATTTTGTATATCTAATTTCTGGTGATTCTAATTTTCTGTAATGCTGATTTTGCTGATAGTAGTGTTGATTTTTTGTAATGTTAAATGCTGATTTTCTGTAATGCTGAATGTTGATTATTTGTAATCTTTATGCTGAATTTCTGTAATCCTGATGCTAATTTTATGTAATGCTGAATGCTAATTTTTCTTAAAATTTGTGGAGCATTGACTAAATGTTTAGTTGCTTGAATTGTGTGTCTTATATTTTTAAATATTAAGATTTTAGATATTATTAGTGTTTATTTGAATTTAAATATTTAAGTTATGACTGTTATTAAGATTTGAGATATTATTAGTATTTGTTTGAATTTAAATATTTATGGTTTTACTTGCATTTAAATATTTAGTATTTATAAAATTAGAACTTAGATGTTTAGAAGTAATTAAATTAAAATATTTACTTTTTTTTAACTGTTCGCTTCGGTTCGCTTTACACCTTAAATAAGGCTGATGAAAGAAAAACTAATGTAAGCTTAAGACAATAGGCTTGATTTGGTTGATCCAATTTGAGAATCAAGAGCTCATATCGACATGCCAATTCAATAACAAAACAAAAAATTACTCTTTGCTCACACCGAGAATATGCCCTCCGCGAGAATAAGCTCAATTGTCCCTAAAATGCTTGGTGTTTAGTACTCGATAAAATTTGTTATTTTTATTTTAATTATGAGCGCAGTTGGGGCAAGTTTTCAGTTCATAAAAAACTATAGAATTTTACAAGAAAACAAAGCACACTACAGAAGGCTGAAAGCAGAAGATTATCAGTTGAAGACAAAATTAACAAAGTTAAAATGGCAATGATTTCATAATGCACATCGATATAAACATGAACTATAAGTTTACAATATAAAAGAGCAGCACAATGAATGCTAAAGGTTCAAAAAAAGACATCAATAGACAACGTGTCCACATTCAACCCTAATAGCCATGTTTGACTTTACAATGATGATTAAATTTAGGTCCTACAGAACGTATCCACATGCCAATTGTAAGGATGAGTTCAACTGTCAACAAAATGCATAATATGAAAATATTAGTCTGCAGATTTTGATTCTGCAACAATTATTTGACTTAAGGCCAAGAAATGGTTTATGCCAAAATTTAAAATAAAGGATAACCCTTGTAGACAAAACCAAAAATAGCCAAAAATTACCTCCTTTCGATANGCAAATATTAGTCTGCAGACTTTGATTCTGCAACAATTATTTGACTTAAGGCCAAGAAATGGTTTATGCCAAAATTTAAAATTAAGGATAACCCTTGTAGACAAAACCAAAAATAGCCAAAAATTACCTCCTTTCGATATCGGTTTCCCATAAAGAACAATAATGACTTCCGATTTTCGACACCTACACCGCCATGAAACGTATTAATCCGATGCGAANTATCGGTTTCCCATAAAGAACAATAATGACTTCCGATTTTCGACACCTACACCGCCATGAAACGTATTAATCCGATGCGAATACGGCAAGATCACATCCTTCACCAACGATGCCTGATCACGACCCAACCTTCCAAAATCCGAAACCAGAAACACGCCATTTTTCACCCGATCAACAATCTTGTACAACGCATTCGGATCCTGACATATAAATACATGATCCCACCCATTATTCCTCTTCCAATACACCTGCTCCCCCAACCACTCAATCAAATTTTCCTGCATCACCACCAAATAGTATGTGTCAATAAGAACATATCAAATGTCAGAAATATAGAAGTATCAATAAATCTCGTGGTAATGGCATATCAAGTTGAAACTTAATCACCAAATATGTCAAAAACTATGCTAAGCTAAGAATACTGAGTGCATAAACTATGAACATATCAAGAAGTATATCAACTAAAATGTCAAAATGGCGTATTGAGGACTTAAGAACACAAATGTATTAGCACTGGCCAATACATTTCTTGACAGAAATATATCCAACTCTCACAGCACAAATGTGTCAAATCAGAGAGAGCACTAATATACAAAATCATATACAGATAAAAGTTTTATTGTCATCCCAAAAATGTGTATATATCGAAGAAAATTATTAAAATGGAAATGCAGGGAAGCTAAAAAGTTTGAATCTAACAGCAGGTTATACAAAACATGAGTGCATCATCTCAATTTGGTTAAGTCCAATCAATCATCTTTGCTTATATTCATTGATCACACCAGATGACAGTGAATCCAGACAAGCCATCAATGGGATGTACTAGATTTCAGGACGGACAATTGAACTGAACTTCATCAATTTGAAATTGACTGGATCCAAATAATAACACAACAGTCAATAACGCTGTATCAATAAATATCACTAAAGTTGACGTACTCAGGAGCTTGAAATTCATATTGATATATCAATACAAACAGATAGATTGCAATCCCAAAATATTCAAATATCAGTATTAGACCTGCATCTCGTCATCACTATACTGTGGTCCCTCAACAGCCACATTGGTGGGCCGAATCGGGTTGACCACCAAGCTCAAGGATGAAAAGAACGGAACGTAAAACAAATCAGCCTCTTCGGGGTCCAAAACCCGAGTCACTGGCGAGTCAGCACCCCTGTCCGGCCGAGTCAAATCGGCGAACAAGTACCACTCGGCCGAGTGCTGATTCCCCGGGTACTTCAACAAAGCGTCGTCGTTTACCCGACCCTTTTCCCCTCCACGAGCCATCGCATAGCTCTCTATAACACCATACGTAAACTTTCTCGGCAGATCATACATGTAAATCTTCACAGGCCGAGATAGAAATGTCCCAGGAGAATCCAATTTCCACCCAGAATTCCCAATCTTTTCTTGCGAGCCAAACAGTGTGTGACTATGTTGTTCATCATTTGAAGGATAAACAACAATAGTGAAGAACGCATACAAGCCGAGGAGTAAGAGAATAGTGGCTATGACTGATTTGAGGAATGAATTTTTAGCCATTTTGGAATTTAGGTGTAGGGTTTTGGCATTTGAAGGAGGGGAGGGAGACCTGGAAGGTCTAGTTTTGGGTCTTTGGTTCATTGGGTCAATGGTGGTTTCTGCCGAGCATGGTTTGTAACATACACCCAAAAGAGGAAACACAGGGGGAATGAGAGAGAGAGTGAGTGCTGTTGTTTCCATGTGTTGGGCTTGCTGGGGGAATTAAGAATGAGTTTAAATAAATTAGGGTCAAACCTTAAAATAATGCTTTTTATGTGTACCAAATTGTATATATGATTACACATTGGGCCTACGATGGTTAATAAGTTGCGTCATGCCGAGTTTGCGTGTGTGTAAATTGTGTCATGTCACAGTAAAAGTGGTTAAGTTTGAGAGCGTAGTAGACTTAAAGGTAAGTCTCATGAACCGCCGGTATGACATAAAAACAGCCAACTCATTTGGTTTAAATATTTTTTGGTACACATTTTAGTATACACAACATTGTTCCTCGTGTAGTAGAGATCGCAGAAACACGCATCTATAAGTGAGCACCTGTATGTACAATTTAACTTTATTAGGAATGTTTGGAGTTTAATGAGATAATGATTTCTATAGAGAGAGAAAGAATATGATATTAATATCATGAGATTTTGCTGAAAATATTGTCATTTTTAAGGGGAACACAAGAATAGAAAGGTGATGTAATACTACTACCATATGATACCAACAAGAGTTTATAGTTTTGCTTTTCATGGAAACTAATCAAATGAAAATGTTGTCAAGGTCATTCTGCACTACTAGTTCATAGCAATTGATTGAACATATATAGTAATGATGATGGATTTAAGTCTGATCCCCTTTTTTCCTACACCCATTTTCAAGCCCAAAACTCCTATTTGGGCTCACCGAAGATGACCCAAAACCCTTATTCACCAGACCCAAGCTGAGCCATAGTCCAACTCAATGCAAGTCCAGAATAATTCAGCTCAAAGTAGATGTTAACTAGGCATAATCAAGCTCGGAACTAATATCC